GGTCCTGTCCCCCTGTTCTAAAATTCTGTTGAACTATAAGCATTTGAGAGGCAGTACATGACCACAGAGTCATCTCATGCACTCCTTGCAAGACACAGAGATGTTGATTCAGTTGTGCCAGAACATTTATCACCTTGGCCAATGGTGACAGAAGACAAGAGTTAGTGTCAGCTAACTTCTCTCCCCTGTCAGGAAGGGATAAACCAGTCACTCAGCCACTCTTGGACACCTGTGAGCATGTTTGCATTGCACTAGGAGGGGGTAACAGAGATACCTGCAGCTTGCCAGTAGTAGTAAGTCATGGCAGAACAGGTCTCAGGATGAGCTGGCAGCTCAAATACATGCCCCTAGTCTCAGGCATGCAGCTACAGCCCATGCTGCGACAATTTCCCTGCAAGCCAAATTGCAGGGTAGATGTATCCCATCTGTCAAGCTGTTTGCCAAACTGTCTGTTCAAAACCAGCAGTCACGCCCATAAACTTTCTCTCTCTTTTTAGAAGTAATTGCCTACTGGCTTTTGAAGGTGTGCTAACCACTATGGTGACATTTCAATGTTTTTAGCTGTATGCAGAACACCTACAAATACAGCAATTTCATTAAAAATACCAAAAGCCCCTCCCACAACCTTATGTACCATTTAATTCCAAGAACAGATATTTAAATAAACATAATACAGTGCATTGGAGCCCATATTTAGGCCCCTCCCCTCCCCTCTTTCGGCAGTTTTTTTGGTTATAGATGTTAGGCTTTTAATGGAAATGAAATATAACTGTAAATGATCAGATGTAGCCATTTCCCTCCCTAGGATAGAATATGCTGTCTTTATACATGCCTTTATACCACTGTTGAAGCAGCAGTAGTTTGAAGTAACTTTAAAATGAGTTCGTTAAAAAAAAAAAAAAAACACAAAGCACCAACCAGAACCTCTTAATTCTGGTCTGTTTGCTCTGGAGTAAGTGTAATCGTGGGAGGGATTTTTCTTTGTCACTCTTTTAACAGTAGCTGGGAACAAAAAATCAAGTTGGTTGTTAAATTCCAAGCTGAGTGTGCAGGCTTGGCAGGCAGCCAGCCAAGCAAATATGACCTCTGCTGAACAAGACAGTAGCTAAGGAATCCTGTGGTTAAGCTGATTTTATCCTTATTCAAGACAGCATTTTAAGTAATGGGAAACTACTTCTTTCAGGAGATCTTTAGACGACATAGAAGATGCCAATAAATGCATATACCATTTGGATGTAGCCTTCATTACTGTTGGTGTTTTGTTTTTTTTCCAAATTACATGTACTTGCCAACATTAGCACTTAAAAAGGGATATGTTCTTTCTTCTTACTACACATTCTGAATCATTTCACAATGTGTAATGTTTATGGCTCCTTCCACTAGCTTGCAGTAAAATCCAGGTTTAGTCATTCAGACAGCAGTTCAATACTGTGTGCATAACACAGCTACAATTTGGAGCTTACTGCACTTCTTACCCCCACTTCTGCTCTTTTATACAGGTTGTACAGGAGAATGAAAATGTTGTCTTCTGCTTGGAGTGTGCCCTGCGGCACGTGGAGAAACAGAAGTCTTGTCGGGGACTGAAAATGATGTACCGTTACGATGAGGTCTGTACTGACACAGCTGTGTGATGCTGGGGGGCTTTGATACCCAAAACTTAGGGGTAGGCTTAACTCTGCCTTTGTCCTACCGAGACCTCAGGAAACTGGTCTTGGGTTTGTTGTTACTTTGGGGGTTTTTTCGGTGTGCAGAGAAGGCACTTTATTATGATCTAAGTAAAAGAAATAGAGGGAAACACAATGACCAAAAGGAAACCTGAAGCATAAACTGCATGAATATGTGTTACAGAAGAGAGGAGCCATTTAATGCTTTGGTATGCTGTCAAACCTGAGGCTTTGCTTTAACTGGTAACTTCTGTACTTTAGGATACCTTCTCTCTGTTGGTAACTGAAAGTTCAGCTGACTTATTCCAGTCCAGCCTGAACATTCTTTAAGGCAGACTTGCAGAGCACATGTAGATGAGAGGTCCAGTTAATGGCTCCAAGCACATGTGATGATGGATAATCACAGAACTCAAGTTGGTGATTTAGGACTGTGCCTGGGTTCTGGACTAATGATACATGTCTCCACCTGTCCAGCTGGCTCCATTTCTCCTTTGGGTGTGAGAGGATGGGGGCAGAATAGAGAGTGGGGCGCAATTTCCCATTAGCCTGAAAGGTAAATAGCGAAGCAGTGGGAAAAATTACAAAATCAGCTTTTGGGGAGCAGTACTTGGTACAAGCAGCTTTTTGAGATAGGCTTCTCAGCAGTTTTTGAGCACTGTATCTCTGTTCTTTTTAAGTGACTGAAGAGCAGTTGCTAATTTGTGTTTTGTTTTTCCTACTTCCCAAACAGGAACAAATAATCAGTCTTGTCAATCAAATCTGTGGAAAAGTATCTGGTAAAAATGGCAGCATTGAGAACTGTATCAGCAAGCCTACACCAAAAAGAGGACCTCGTAAGAGAGCGACAGTTGACGTGCCATCATCTAGGCTTTCATCCTCCAGTTCATCCAAAAGTGCTTCAAGTTAATCCTGAAGATGCCAACACTCTCATTTTGTCAATTTATATATATTTTTTGTAATTATTATACCATAGTTTGGAGTACTTGCTGTAGAATACAAGCTGTCTTTGCACTAGCTCTAAAGAAGATTTTCTTCTGGTTTTAGAGAACTAATTTTGTTTTAGCATTAAACTGTTGAATTTTTTTTTTTTGTACTTAGAATAGATAGATACAGCAGTCTGATTTTTTTAAACTGCCGTATGTTCACTGTTTTAAAACCGGCAAGGGGCTGATAAAATATTAATTTGTATTGTCCCTATGGCTGAAAAAAATAAAAAGCCTTTTTGGTAACTGTGAAAAAAGGCTTTTAACCCATTTTTTGGATAGGTTAAAGTTTGATGTGTTTTATAATTTGTTCTCCAGTCATGTGAGCAGATTTTTCTAGAGAGAAAAGGGATAGGAGACAAAAACTTGAAAGAAATTGCTTTACTTTGGCTGTCTTTTATTCTGTCACAGCAAGATGAGTTTTGTAATTTTTTAAATTGGTGAATACACACTTTCTTTGGGAGGTTATGGCAGCTGAAGATGGACTTTGTTTCCTAACTGTAGGCAAAAGGAGGAGATTTGGAGTATGTTCTCTTTTACCAGCACATCACTATGCATCTGTTTTGAGGGGAAAAAATAAAAAATTAAAAAAAAAATAAAGAGGAAAAAAAGACTGCCTGCCTTGAGGAGTCATGTGAGGGAAAACTGTGCCTGATTTCATTAGGAAATCCATTCTGTTATTTTTTGGTGCTGTTGGCTACTTTATCAAAAACCCTTCAATAGCATCCTTTAAAAAGAAAAAAAAAAGAAAAAAAAAAGAAAAAAGTGATTGAAGCCATAAGTGCTTCTTTTGTCATAGACGTGCAATCTTTCTAACATTCCATTTCCATTCCACTGCTGTTTTTCACACCTTTACACAGTCAAGCATTAATTTTTGTTTTGAATTTGTTTCATTATATGATTCACATTTAGAGCCACTAGCAGGTCTGCATATTTCTTTTGAATGTGAAAATGCATTTGCTTTCATCTTGTCTATTTTTTCTCTTCATGTTGTAACAAAAAAAAAAATCACACCTTTTGTACATATGCCTGTAAATTTTTTTAAATACTTGAGCCTTTTCTTGGGGTGGGGGGAGGGATGGCAAAGAGACAAGATGAAGAAAAGCCTTACGTTTCACTTTCTTCATCGGTTGGATTGGATGCTTACAGGGTTTTTCTTGTAACATTTATAAGTGCTGCTTACATCACTGAACAACAACAAAAAATAATAATGGAGTAGCTGTTGCCCTTTTCTGGTTGTGTGTACAGTATGTGTGGAATAAAAAAGGGAAAATGTTTTCACAAACTGTTTTGTTTCGTAATTGAATTCAACAATACCGTAGCTACCCATATTGCACTGAGCTTGCCAGTGGTGACTGTCAGGAAAGTCCTATAATACAATTTGTTGGTTGTTGTTGCAGAAGACTGAACTGTTTTGGAATATTTAACAATAACATAAACAGAGTCAAGTGTTTTCAAATGTGGTTGTCTGGTTTTTATGGCCTTGCTGTGTACTTTTCCCTCTTGACAGTAAACTTCTGACTATGGCTTACAGTTTGACATTTAATTTATTAGCGCTGCTCTGCTCTCTTTCCTTGTAAGGAAAGACTTCATGTTGTTTATTGCCAGTTTTTTGTTTACTTTCCAGGTTTGTACTACAAGGTTTAATAAAAAAAACAAAACTTTTTTGGACATTTTGTCTGTCTTCTGGAAAGCGAGAGAGTAAAGGAAGCTCCTTCAAGAAAAGTTTCTTTCAACAGATGCCTTGTTGAATAGTAAATCTCTTATTGTAGGGACTGAGCTTCTAGCCTTCATTTCCCAGACAGGAGTCTGGAAATACTTTGTCAGCTAACAGTGAATCCTTAAGGAAACTGGCCACTTCCCAGCTGGCGAGCAGCAGGAGATGCCTCGTTCCCTCGGTTTGTCAGGGCAAGTCTTTGGAAGGGATCTACATCACAGCTCATCCTTTTACTTACGCTGTTTCTGATTACATTCCTTCCCTCCGTGCATGAAGAGCAGGAGCCAGGAGCCTTCTCAAAGGAGAGCACATCCCTGCAAATAGAGCATGAGACTTGACAAGTAACAGGTGTTAGACACGTTCAGACCTCGAGTTTAGAGAGAAAAATGACTGCAGAAAAAATGGCAATAAGATGATGCCTATAGGTCCTAAGGTTTATAAAATATATGCACTTATTTTATAATTAATTCAGGTTTATTTCCCTTGCACTGCTGGCCTGCATCAGTGTAGTCAAACAGATGTTACCATGGAAAAGCACATTACACTGGTGCTCCTAATAACCAATTTTTTTTTTTTTTTTAGGCTCCTCTGTTCACTGTCATGGATAAAATACTTGGGTAGTCAAGTAAAAGACAGGGTTGGGATAGAAATACTTTATTTTATCTCGAAAGAGGAGTTTACACAATGCTAAGATACCTGCTCCACAAGGAGTGTAACATTTCAATACGCATCTCTCCTCCTTTTCAGGTTCTTATTTTTTCCTTAACACCTACAATAACTAAGTTGGTCCTGAATAGGAAGTGTGAGAACAGTAAACACTGCTGCATTCGTAGACAAAGGCAGGAGGCAGACAGTAGGTAGTAAAGAGTAGAAAATAACTTTTCATTTTGGTTTGGATCCTAAATCTTCAGTTGCAGCAGCTGAAAACATGCAAGGAACAATTTGGGTTCAGTATTACATATCAACTCTTAAGTATTTCCAATCAGCCATTTAAAGGTTAGTGGTCAAAGTAACTTCTATCTTTCCCCTTTAATTCTCTTATACATAGTATATACAACAGTTTTACTGCTCCCCTGAGCCCCAAGACTACTGTTAAAGTGTGTGTGCTTTAGGCATATTTTTTTTCTTTAAAAACCAACCTCCATATGACTGGCAATTTGTAAAAAGGCAGTATTACTAAGTAAAAAGATCTGGCTGTTATGCTTGGTTAGCAAATTGTTACACAGGCAAGCTCTTCATTCACTTGTTCATTCATTCAGAAGTCATTCTTAAAGGATATGGTTTTAAGATTCAAATAGTTTGAGAGTCACTTTCATCACTAGCATCTGAAGCACACTTTCTTTCAGTTACAGCAGCAAGGGCAGTGTCCACTTGAACTTCCTCTTCGTCAGACTGAACAACTGGAGACTCTCCTTCACTTGCATCTTGGCTGGCAGAATCAGTGCAGGTTGATGACAGTGAAGACAGTTTTTGTCGTAACTCAGACTGGCTCGGGACCTGAAGACTTATCTCATTCACGTAGGTGTTGGTGTCAGGCCCTTATAGTTGGAAAAAGAACAACAAAAAAAAAAAAATCAAGCTTTGGCTTGTCAAGGGAATCGGTAAGTCAGTACATTAACATTAGCTTAGCATTGGTTAGTGAGTCACATTCAGGCTGTTTTCCTCCTTTTACAAAACACCATTAAAAATCCCTACAAAACACAAAGCTGCTTTTGGCTTTTCTGAAACAGATCTCTCATACAAGCCACAGGCTGGTTTTAATCTGTTTCTGATGGTGCGTATGGCTCTCGCTCATTCTAGAATCGCTAATGCTTGAGATAAATAAGGTAAGATGGCAGGAGCATTAAGTCCTGACTGTTAAGAGACATAGCTGATGCCCTGTTTGCCTGTTAGCAAAGACCACTTAATCCTCCTAACTGACTTTAATAAACGTCCACTCAGACGTCAGCATGTGCTGAGAATCATCACCAAGAGGAAAATCCTCCCAACAAACTGTCCAACACAAACCCTGAGGAAATAAAAAAACCAAACCAAAACAACTAGAAGACAGGCACTAATAGTCATCTCCAGTTTTGACTAAAAATGAAGATGCAAAAGCAAAACAAATTCTGCCCTCGGCACGAAAACATTCCTCTGGTACAGCTATACCATAGCTCAAGTCCACAGGAATGGGATTTTAAGACTATGCTTCCTCGATATCCTGTGCAAAAAAGACTTCTAAGCAAGTTCAGTTTAATAGTGTTTGCTTGCAGTTTGAAAGTTCAAGTTTCAAAATTAGATTCTCTTCCCTGGACAGTTCCTGACAGTCAGAAGTTAAAATGAGGCAACATGTAAACACTGTCTATGTGCTCTGCCAAATAAAGCCCTTTTTTCCTTCTCTACTATACAAGTGTTTCTCCATAGTCAGCTCACCTGCCTTCAGCACTGAGTAACTTTAGTGAGAAAATACTCTTAAAAATCCTGTGGGATTTTGTTTTAAAATTGTTTCAGAAGGGTCAGATGGATATGAGCTGATCACTACACCTTAGCTCTGCTCAGGCTATTGGCAAAGCAGTTCAAACTACACTGCCCTATGACTGGTCCCCATAGTCTTACCAAGTACCAAGTTAAATTTTAACAAGGAAAAAGTCACAACAGCATCTGGAGGTAAGAGAAGCTTCTTGTACTAAATACTGTTGCTCTGGCACATTTCTTTTCATAACTAGCTGCAATCTTAAATTCTGGTCCTAAACTTGGACAACAACTTTATGTGACATTTTAGTAGCTTCTCTGAGACCCAGGAACTCTATGGGGAAACGTGTCCTTGGCAGGACTCCAATTCCAACACAAGTTGATAAACAACTGGTACAATCACAATTTTGACAGCTGACCAACCTGCCTGGGCAGAGAACATCCTGGCTGTGTCACCCCAGGATGTCTGGTAGGTCTCCACTGAGTTGCTTCTTGAGGCAGTACATGAATTTATATTGACTGCAAGTGATATTAGGAATCATGAGGCATCACTAGAAATTTTAGAGACACCTGATTTTATGTTGTGTACACCAGCATGCATTTACACAACACACAGAGGAGGAGTTTTCAGAAGGGACAGAGCTAAGTAAATTTTTCAGTTCAATTTACTACCATGAAATGTTGGAAAACCAATGCCCATAAGCTGGCAATGTTTATAACAAGAAAAATTTGAAAACATTTCAGTGTCTTGAGCTGATTCTCATTTTTACCTGTTACTGAAATAACTTACCTGCATTCTGTGGTGTTCAGCACAATTGTGAAATATATTGCTTGCCCTGACCACCCATTTCTCCACTGACAGCAAAATGAAGAGTTACCTTTAAGTCATCTCATTTTTCTGAGAATTAAGACTATTGCGTATTTAGTTTGATACTAGGGGACCAGGTTCCAAGCACAAAAATCCCTTATTCAGAGGGAAATGAATCATGTGGAACCACAACAGCAAGGTTCACAAGACTGTTACACTGCAGTAGGAATAGCTGTCAAGGAGTAAGTCTCGCTGCAGGTCCAGCCAACCTCTGCAGTAAAGCTGCAGTGCTGGAACGCCACAGCACGGGTACGTTATATTAGTGTATGTGCATATATATACGCTATCTATACATACACACTGTAACACATCACAGCACAAAATAAATCACACAAGTTTTTTTCAAAGGCTAATAAATTTCACATCTATTTAGGAGGAAAAAAAACTCCACAACCAAACCCGCCCAGTAGTTTCCGCACTTCCTTAGATCATCCAGTTAGACTGTTTGCTGTTAAGACATAAAGCTTCTTGGTCCAACAACTGCCAAAGACCCAGCAAATGGAAAACAGTCCTAGATTCTGTAATTACTGGCATGCTCAAATGATGATCAACTTTAATAATGCACAAACTGGATGCCTATCCAAAACCAGCAACCTGAATTCAGTTTTTGCAATGAAACACAAAAACCTTCAGTAGTCAATTGTACCTTGACTACTTATTGTAAGCTTTTCACATTCACAGCAGGTGTTAATCACCTGTACATAGGGAGTACTATAAGTACTTTTATAAAAATATTTCAATCTGTATTTTCAGAAGAAATCAAAAGTACCTTTAAAGGAGCTTCATCATCTCCCCCAACAAAAATCGTTTTGGCTCTTCTGAGAAAAGGCATTTTAGTACAGAAGTTTTTGACTGAGAAAACATACTTCCCTGGTAGTTAAAAGATCCAGTACCCAGACACTAATTCCCTACCTTTATGCAGATCCCTCATCGTGCTGCAGCTTGGCAGAACTCAAATATGGTTTTGTTCCTCAGAACATATAAACAAAATGTTGGATTAACATAATCCAATTTAACTAACATTACTAGCAGAAGGAAGGCTACATGAAGGAGCTGCACTATCAGAATCACTATTCAGAAGCTTCTAGTACACTGTTATGTTTTATATATGTGTGTGTGTGTGTGTGTGTGTGTGTGTGTGTGTGAACTGCTGGGTTGAGCCACTTCTCTGAGTATCTCTCCCTGAAGATCTTACAGTATACAGCCGGTCCAAATTTACCAAGCAACATTCTGGACTTTCCGTCGATGTTTGTTAAAAAGTCCTCTGTTAATCCTATACTGAGAAAAATGCACCTTAAAACCGTGTGTAACATACCACCCATCCATACTGTGATGAATACAGCAGGAAGCTGCAGTAACTAGATGAAAAAACAGACAGTCCAGAAATATCACGTAGTTTTGCATTAAGCTCCCTTGTACAGGAACTAAATGTTAATGTTTTGAAAAGCACTGATAAAGAATATTCCATCTACATAAAGCGTAATGTTTTATGAGATAACATCATCCATTACAAATGAGAGCAATTCTGGTGATTTATCACTGTGTCTCGAAGCACGCTATCATTACTAATACCATACCCAGCATGGGAGAAAGCATATTATTGTCTTCGCCTCCTGAGTTTAAAAAGACATCAAGTGCTTCTTGGTCAGACATGTCCATTAGGTCCATCTGTTCCAGCATGTCCACATTCACTTCCATGGAAGACATACTTCCAATCGGTTCTGCAGTAAAAACAGTGCAATGAGCAAACTGACGATCAGTTACATGATGTTATCACATACCAAGGCTTCAATAGCTGCTATTATTGTGTGCATTAGCAATAATTAAACTAGGAAAGGAAGGAACACACCCAGAGAAGCTGCTCAGCAGCGATTTCAGCCCAAATCCAAGAGCACTCTGTGTAACTTTGTTGTGAAACTAACATCCATTACTGCTTTTGTAAAACCAAACATTTTTAGAAACAATATTTATAGCAATAGCATTGTCAGAAATATGATAGGATGGGGCTCAGGGGCGAAGGTTGAAACTTTCCATTTTGGAACACTCCAATTCTCTCAATTAAAAGTCTTTTTAGAGAAAAACAAACACATTTAAGCGCACAGTCGCTAAATGTCAATATAGGAGGGATGTGGAAATTCAGAAATAAGGATTAATGTTAACAGAGAGCAGCCATTCTTCCTCTCAGCTAATCCAAGAAATGACAGTAGTATGCAAAACCTACGCTCAAGCCAAGCATGGGGATTGCACATTATTAATTACTCAAGCAAATCACTTATTACTGTCAATATAATACTGACAATTTGCAAGGGAATTAAATACTTGGATAAGCATCTTCTTCCTTGAACAACAAAACATGCAAACACAAAACAACTAAGTTAAGGGGTGCCCAGATTTAAGTCTAGTTGCTGCATGTGTAACATAAAATATTAAAATGAGCAGTTTATTGGTTTATGTAAACTTAAAATTACACTCTTAAAAGCATTCATAGGTGAACTGAGATGAAATACTTCTATTTGATTGGTTTTTTTCCAAATATACTACAGCTCCATAGTTTTACATAATACTGCAAGACCAAATCTTTCATTAAAACAGTTTCTTTGATACACATGTGTTCCACATTATACTAAGAAGCTGTAGTTTCAAATGTTAGGTAGCCTAACACTCAAATCTAGCTGTGTGTCCAGTACTAGCCCATGACAACATCCACTTTTAGTCTAATAGACTGTATATTACAGAAAGCAGAAGACCCAAACTCAGTTCCTTACTGGACCACAAATTTAGACTTACATATCCCACCTCTCCCTAGCTACCCATCTAGAGCATCATGCAGATGAGTATTTATAGCACTGAAGCAGAGAAATGGAAATCTTGGATTGCATTCCCTGCTCTGACATTACAAATGATAGCGGAATGGTCTTGGAACAGGGACAGAATCTCTACGTTTTTTCCTGCTGCATGAATGCATAATTTCCCACTTGCTTCCTTACTGGTCCAACAATCCCTGCATTTTGGCCCAACAGATGGAAACCTCCCACACAGAAGTGCCTGTAGTCTATGGCATTCTTGTGCTTTAACTAGTCCAGAGATGCCAGACTTGCATCATCTCATAATAAGGAGAGCACTTTATCAGACCTCCCCTGTCCTAATTACGCACCCTGCATGATACACACGCAGTGGAAATAGCTACCACCTGGGAAGTGTTTTGAAATGCAACCCTGAGCTTTCCTCTGCACTTTTCAATCTTTTCTGAGGCACCTCCTTGCCAGGTGACAACCCCAGGCTTTGGAACTCCAGTGGACAGAAGCAGCTGCCTCCATCCACATCTTTATAGACATAGATGCACTCTTCAGCTGCAGAGAAAAGTGCTGTTCCAGATGCACTTCAGTGCTTTGCATTTCCTCAGACAAGGAACAGAGTCTGACTAATCTTCTAAAGTATCTAGCTCCCCTGGGACACCAAGTTTGTTTCATTGGTCCATCTGAAGTTCCAGTCCTCTGAGGAAGAATTTGGACACTGCAGTGTGTTAAAACCGCTGCTGACTCTGACTCCTCAACAACGTTCTCCAAGTTGTTTGTGCATTACATGGAATGTATTTTAAAACTTGCCTCGCCTCTCTGCTATCTGCAGGTATCCTGTAGAAAGGTATTGCTCCATGTCCTGCTGGAAGGCTTCTTCAAAGAACTTCTGACGTTCCTTTAGCTTCATCTGCTGGGTGTGCTCCATGTCCAAAACTTTCTGTGCATGTTCAGCATCTAGTTCAGCTGAGAATAAAACAAACAAATAAATAAAATATTGCATGTATATCCCTCTGACTTTCAGAATTTAAAGGCTACGGAACCAGTTCAATACTGACAGATTGTTACTACAGACTGTTAACACAGGCTGTTATGAAAGAAGGCTTCTGGGCTTTGCAACTACATTTTAGAACAGGATAAGAATACTATATTAGGCAGCATAACCTTCACATTAAAGTGATGTCATAACTATTTATCTTGAGGCAAGATGCAAATTTCCTGAGCTGTATAAACAGGAATACCTGAAAGCCCCAGTCCATCAACAACAGGGATTTTAGAAGCCTGCCAAAAAAAGCTCAGATAATGATGCTTCTGCAATCATATGTACTTCATGCACACAGAAGTAATGCCTTTAATTTGAACATTGCAGCACATTTCCACTACAAAGCAAGTGGAAAGATACATATATACCTATGTGTACATACACATAAATACACATACATACATATGTGTGTGTGTGTGTGCATATGTGTCTGAGATTCTGGCTTTGTCAGCCTTCAGACAGAATGGAAAAATCCTTTAAAGGATATCCTACATGCAGCACAGGTATGTATTCACAGAAACTGTGAAGGCAGCCTGAGTTGACAGGAGGTAGGTAATCAGTGCTGTTTTTAAAAACACCACCACACAGGCATTAATAAATATACAGCAGCAGAGAAGACGATGATGATACCAACACCATAAATGCAAAGCCAACTGCCATGAATTACTAATATGACACCAAACAGAAAGGGCCAGCTCGTATAGCTTGTACAGACACACAGTGACAACTGAATTTGCTTAGATGTAGCTATGCCGGGTCTCTGGCAGCTCCTCTTTCCTCCTATGGCAAAGGAAGCATTAGGTGGAATATCATCAGAACTCCTTTCCCCGTTTTGCTCTACAGGAGTCACTGACTGGCCAGAGGATATACAAAGAAAAGAATCGTGCTGTTTAGTGAAGAATAACATCTTCAAAAATAAAAAGATGTGGCTGCTATTGAAATACCAACTGTAGCCAGACCACTATTAGACTATGCTTCAGAAAAATTGCTTATTAGGAGGAATATGTAAACTGGAACTCTTCCTCCCAGAGTTCTCTGCTCACTTTCCTGAACCAGTCTCATGAGCACTCTGCTTACAATAAAACAAGAATTTTCTACAGCTCAGCTGCTGATGCAAGGGATGGAGGTGGCATGAAATGCTGCTGGTCTGTTCTGTTCTACCTATTAGAAGAAGGTCCAACAAATACCACTGGGTGAAAAATGTCCAAGCTTTCACACACCAGAGAGACACAGCTAGAATATGGCATCCATATGGATAAATGCTGGAAGAGCGTTAAGGCTTTTTAGGACAAACATTGTGTCAGTCTTCCAGGAAAAATGTTATGTTAATAACATTTTACAACACGGACACTCATTAAATGCATTTACCATTATAGAGATTATTACCCAAATTCAGAGCATGTTTTATTAAACCAGGCAAAAGCATCAGAGAGCAGTAATTCACTCTGTTGTCTGCATCAAGGTCACAGATCATACACAGAAGCAACTGAGCTGTGAGAGATTCCAAAAGAAGCCAGAAAACTGGGCTATCTGACACACCAAATAATCATTAAAACATCAGTAAATAAGCTGAAATCTTTTTCTTAAAGCAGATTTCAGAAGTAAAACATCAGTGTATAAAAAGGAAAGCATTTTCCCTGAAGGCAACATGTCTTTATTATCAATTACACTGTGGTGTATGATGACTCTGTGTCCCCTGGAGCAACTCCTTTAATACAGGCCTGAATGATGAGCAATTATTAATAACATTGTCTATGATGCAGAAATGCTATTCAATTGTAATAATAAAAGCCAGAGGCTCTCACTGACAACAGAAATTTCCTGTCTTTCTCATGATACATTCTGACAGTTTTGCACTCTATATTGGTAGTTCAGGATATTTTTAACCCCGAAACAGAGATGGCATCCAAGTAAGATATGAGACTGATGCAATCTCTTTCTTAACATTGAGCACTCTGTTTTTAACTTCTGCCTAAAATGTTCTGTTAAATTGAAGTTGTCCCCAGCCAAAGCTAAATGGCAACAGCTGCCTGCAGTGCTGATGTGTTCCACAGAAACTCTAGATACACAATCTTGAAGAGTTGTCACAGGTTTGTTCTCCAAAGTCTGTTACAGAGTTAACATCAAGAACCTTGCTGCACGATTTCATGCTCTGCCAGGTGTAATAAAAGTTGCTTGGCTAAGCAGAATCCAACTGCTACATTTGGGGTTTCTGTTTGTTATCAGAAATGCTAAGGATGGCTAGACGAAGCCAACAGTCAAACGTGAAACCATGGAAAACGGATGTATTGCTTCTTTTACAAAGCTATTCAGAATTATGTTTTCCATAAGCCAAGTGTAGTTTATAAAACACTGAATAGAGACAGTACCAAAGGAGTTCTAAGAAAGAATCATCCATATACCATCACACCCTGCTCATACGAATTCTTCCCAGGATGCAAACTGAGACCTGTCACACTTAAAATACTATTGTATTTTTCCTTTTGCCATAAAATTGTACCTTTCAATTACTAACTGCACCTATGTCTCAATCACACTGCTGCGCACAGAAAAAAAAAAAGACAAACTACACAGAAAATGCACAATTAGATGCAGACATGCAGGAATTGGGAATTGTCACGATAACCCAGATAAAAGGTGACTTTAATTCTCCACCAGATGACCTTTAATAGAACAGAAACTAAAAGCAGGCAAAACATTTCTTAAAAATTGAAAACTCGAGGGCTGACATACAGCCTTCTGTACTATCCTCAGGAACAGCCCCATGGCCAACCCCTGGCTCTCCTCCCTTGGAGTCAAGGTATAACCCACAGCCCGACTCCCCCACGCAGAGGCAGCACTGGCCCACAGAGCTTCATGTGCTACAAAACCTCATTTCCCCCAACACAGCTCTTCCTCACCCTCCCTGTGCAGGTGCTGGAGCACAGAAGTCTGTTGACCCTGGGATGAGTCACCCCAGCCTGAAGGAGCCCCTGGGTGTGTGCGCCCCTACTGAGATGCTGCCTGCCCTCGCCTCCTCTGCCCAGGTGAGGATTTATCAGGAAGTGTCAGGGGATGACCCTACTTCTCCAAACACCTCAGCATCAGAAAAAGGCATAGTCATCATCTGCTTCTGTCCCTGTGGATCGTGCCTACTACCACCTAATGAGGCTGGAAAGCTGTACTAGTTAATTCCAGTCATTAAAAGGACTGCCCTGTGCTCTCAGAGGTCAATGAAAAAAAAAAAACCCAAACCAAAACCAGAGTCTAGAGTGTAGTCCTTAAAGCACTGATTTTCCCTACAGGTGCTTCCTCCCCTCAGCTTTTTTCCTGGGAAAAAAAAAATCACCATACAGATGTACAAATAGGCCAAAGACTTAGGAATCAAGGCAAGACTGCAAGCACAATATTATTTGGTCCATGTTTCCACATCTCAATTTGCATTTTTGATATCTTTCTGCAGACAGGAGCTGTGCTAAGCAGACGCTGTATTCCTATGACAAGATTAATTTATTAAAGCCAGGATCTCAGGACAAATTATTTCTTAATGACTTTATAAAATATTGTCATTTATAAATTAACTCTATTTCTGGGTAAAACTCCCCCACCTTGTATCTGAAATGTTTGAACTAGACACCAGAAAAATCCAAACTCCAAAGGAACAAATTAAAATAGCTTATAACCACATAAATCAAGTATAGGGGACATCATTTTCTGATATCATTCCTAGGTCTGGCTGACACTTTTTACAAATTAAAATTCTGCCACAGTAAATAAAGTTTCTATCCAACCAACAAAATTACCATTTTATACTTTAATATAAAAAATTTTCCAGCTATGCACAACAGATTTCCTGAGAAAAGTGTGGCTACAAATAAAACGAATTAGAAGAATGACTACCAAAAAAAAAAAAAATCAGCAACTGAAAACACTGTTTGTTTACATGGCTAATACAACCTTTAGGCCTAATATGAAAGATGTCAAATTGTCCAAATGGATTGCTTTTTAGTGCTTCCATACTGTTATGCAATCAGTTTACTTCTCTTCAACTAACTTATTATGTAACTTTATAGTTCTCATGTGAAGTAGAACCTACATCTGTACTAAAGAGAGAAAGACATAGAGTAATGCAAAAAATGCCCTTTGTCCCCCTCCCAAAAAGCAAAGTTCATTTGCTTTTTGTAGACTCATCCGACCAGACCATAAAATGCACGCAAGCATTCTTTGCAGCCTTTTTTGCTTTTGCTACAAATATCAAAGTTTCAAGCAGCCCTTCACTGAACTCAGTCCTGGTTTTTGATGTTCCTTCTGTGCTGAGGGACTTGAAACTGGACAAGACACAAAGACATGCTGAGCAGGGGAGGATAATCCCTTCCCTTCATCTCCTGGCCCTGTTCCCATTCACTCAGCCCAGGGTGCTGTGGCCTTCCTTGCTGCCAGGTGTCCATCACTTCCTCCAGGACAGAGCAGCGAGCTTGCTTGTCACCACCCTCTACACAGGGCATGACCCATAAACTACCACTCTCCAACACAACTGGTTATTTATCCATCCTGTTGCCCATCCATCCAGACTGTACCATCATAACTTGGCTACAACAATACTGTGTGAGGTTGGCAAAACGTATCAGTAACATGGCTATTCGCTAAACAGCCAAACCCCTTCAAAATCAGAAAAACAAAATCATAAAAACAGGCAATGGAAGACAGCTTTTCAAGTGCATTATGACTTAGCAACTTATACTTGCAACTGCCTCATTATAGACCCTTTCAAGCAAAAATATCAAAGCAAGACAAGACGCCAGAGAGTGCTTCAAAGAATGCAGTTTTCCTCAAAAATGTTTAAATTGTACTTGGCAGAATTTAGAGTACATTTTCATATGACGAGGGATGAAGTTCAGAGCACTCCTGCACTACACTGTTCTGACAAGTGGTGAGAGTGTGTTGG